ANTATATATATATATATATATATGTATATTTTTGTTTCTTAAGCATTTTGAGTTTATAGTATGAGATGAATCTCACAATATTATTCTCAAAACAAAGTTTATGAGGATTTCATTTCGGTTTCGAATTATGCATAACTATCGGAAAAAACATGGTTGCCTAACCGTTAGGTGCATACTTAATGCGTTCTTCATTGTTATTCAATTGAAGCTATTCCATTTTTCTTTGAAAATTGTGATTGGATTTGGTTTCAACATTTTTAATCTTCTGCTTCACTTGGCTTTCACGAATAGTTTGTCCAAACAAGCCACAAAAGCTTTGAAATCTTGTGGGACTTTCGAGAAGTAGTTATTGTATTGAACATCAAAGTTTTCAACTTCTGGAGTCTGACAATGTATTTTGGTGAATTTGATTTGGAGAGTGTTTAGTTAGTCTTAAACTTTGTCTATGTATTTAAACATGATTTTTATATATGAACAAAAAAAAAGAACTTTGTGTTAAGATAAATAAGCTAGCTTCAAATCCTTGCATTGATGTATTCTGCATTTGTCTCCGAAGGGGTTCAAGAAAGATGTGAAGACAAAAGAAATGCAAATTTAAGTGATATGTTTGAAATTTTAGATTTTATCCATCACTAAACTCTGTTATCATCATCTTTAAAAGGTGTAGCCTTTCATCACGGCAAGTAAATAACTTTCCTTAGAACGGCTTTTTCAGTGAAAATGTCGAGCAGAAGGGCTATTCATCACTGCTATCATTTACAGTTAGCGATATCAATAGTACCGTGACAAAATTGATGAGCTTGGGTGCAGAATTGGACGGTCCAATTAAGTACGAAATCCATGGAAAGGTAATTTTCCATCAACTATATTGTGTGATTTGCTTAAAATTTTGATGAACAGAATTGATGAACATTTAATCAAAAAATCCTTTTTGCTAAAATAAATTTGATGATAATCGATATATATATTCACATTAACAGGTAGCGGCAGTGAGATGTGCCGATGGGCACGTGTTAGGTCTTTACGAGCCCGCTTAGATGTTCGCGACAAGAGCAAGTTTCTTTTGCAAATTTTGTATAAATGCATAAATCAATGAACAGAATTGCTCTTCATCACTTTGGTGTACTGTATAAGTTCTGAGGTGTTACAAAATTTATGTCCTATATTTAGATTTTAGAGGTTTATTCAGATTTGATCTCTAGGTTCAGATGCTTTATTTTGAGATGCTGATTTTTTTTTTAAAAAAAAAAACTTTTAAAGATTTAAATGTTTTATCATTATATGCTGCTTCCTTGTGTATAGGTAAGCACTGACGTTCTATAAACAATGGGGGATTTCATTAACACAGCCTGAATGACTGACTATAAGATTTAAGATAAATCAAAGAAGCATTATTTTCCAATGCAGAAAAGGCCTAATCTACAATACAATAGTAGATTATCCCTCTTACACAGAACATATATAAAAGTCAAACAAATCCGAGGTCGTGACGAATTAAGAAAACCCGGTGGCAACACATTTTTCACTCTGTCCCAGCAATCTTCTTTTTCAGAGCTTCTATGTCTGATGCCAGTTCTTTTCTACTCGACTGAAAAAAAAATAAAAAAATCAAACCCATCAGCAACAAATGATATGTTCAGATTATAAGGTGAAATTTTATAAACCCTTCGATTGTAAGGTGAAAATTTGGCAAAATTTCGATACCTTGAAGAGAAGGTAACGGTATACAAACCAGCCACTGTATCCTAAGCCAACCAATTCCATGACTTTTGGAAGCTGAAAAGAGTCGAACAAGTAGTGCCACGAGTTAGTTGATATATAAAATAGACATATTCTTCCTTATTCTAAAGATTTCGACATAATCTCAAAGAAGAAATCGTTCCTCACTATGGCAGTGTTTGGTAAGGCAAATAAGCTAACTTATAGCTTATTTGGTTAGCTTATAAGCTCCCTGTATTCAAATAAGTCTCGTTTGGTAGGACGAGCTTATTTAAAAACTTCGAGCTTATCTCATAAGCTACTTTAGGTAGCTTTACAAAAAAGCTAGTTGAATTTTTTATTTCAGTTAGCTTATCAGCTAATTTTACTAAACACTTTTATCATATAAGCTAACTTTTCAGCTATAAGTCATAGGCTATAAGCTATAAGCTAAAAAATTACAAATAAGCTATAAGCTAGCTTATCAACTAGTTTTACCAAACATAACCTATATAAACCCATATCATAATTTCATTTTCTTTCTTAGCATTGAGGTGTGGATAGAAATAAGATTTTTGAGATGGGATGAATAGTAGTTTATGTGAAAAAAAAAATGTTTTAGTTCTTGTTTTGATGAGATAAATCTTGGCCGAGTAGACAAAATAGAAAAAAAAAAAAAAAAAAAAAAATTCGTATAACTGGTCGCAACCTAGGTTCTGTTCGAGAAACTCTAGAAATCCCTGGTTCTCAACTACTTCTAGCTTCAACTAAATCAATTAATGAGGTTTTCTTTGTAAGACATGCAAACCATAAACACCAATATGAAGGCTATGTATGGTAAGCATATAGCTCATATCTTATTTGATTAGCTTATAAGTTTTCTGTATTCAAATAAACATGTTTGGAATGACGATCTTTTTTAAAAAGCTCGAGCTTATTTCATAAGTTTTCTTGGGTAGCTTTTCAAATAAGTCCATTGAATTTTTATTTAAGCTAGCTAGCTTTATCAGCTAATTTTACCAAACACTTTTATCATATAAAACTAATTTTTCAGCCATAAGTCATAAGGTATCAGCTATAAGCTCGAAATTCACTTAAAAGCTATAAGTTGGCAGCTATGTTCGGTTGACCAAACATAGCCTAAGTCTATTTTTTAAAGAACTTACCAAAGGGACCGAGTTAATTGCACCAACAACAACGGTAGCTAACCAAACAGCAACAATCGCACCACCACCATAAGTAAGCACAGTCGACTTGTTCTCAATGGCATCCCACTAAATAAAGCATCGCAAAATGCATTAGATCAGTAGATTACGATTCAAATTACGCAATAATTAAAGCTCGGAATAGATGTTGCACTTTTGTTTCATATTATTTTGAGCATAATTTACCTTTTCCTTCAGGTCTGTGAACAATTCGTTCGCATCAGCAGGGCTCTCATCAGATGAAGAGGCCTTGACTAAGAGCTGAGAAGACCTCCCGGATTCTGTTTTCAAAATGGCATCACTCGACA